TTTTTTTGCTAACAATGCCATTAAATCAAATATGTAAGCACATAATTGTGATAAAATAAATACACTTTTGATTATGATACTATTACAATATATTTAACAATACAATATGATTTGCATATATCGTTACTTATATAAGTGTATGCATTAATGTATATATTTTGCTAATGTGTTAGCATAATTGTAGGCTAACACCTCACTTGAAGTTTGTATATAATTGTCACGATGCTAATATCAAGGGCAAGCAATTACATCATAAATCCAACCACAATTGCACCTTGCATTGTAATTTAACTTAATTTCAATTACAATAAAAATAATTACAGTCAATTGTAGATGACATAGAACCGATAATTATAAAACAATGGTTAGACAATTTGTACCTCATGCATAATATGCTAGATAAACTTTTTTAGATTAACGCCAACATTTTAAAGCACCCCTCCATGTCACACGAAAGATGGTCACAAACGAATATTATGAAGGTAAGGATAGTTATTAAAAAAAAAAATCAAATTATTGGCAACATTCACTGGGTCACATACTAGGGTTTTTTTCATTTAGCTGTGGTAGTTACAAAAGCAAGTTGTGGTTGGTCCACCTATCATAATCAAGTGTATAAAATACTCAGCTTGGCTTATAAATGGGATGTTGATAAGGGCCATTAGGGCAAACTCAAAACCCACAATAAGCTCTAATTCTTGTTCATTAATGTCAAGTGGTAAGCAAGTGTTATGTGAACACGGAATACCTGCCAAAATTAGTGCCGTCCGGAGGGGGCATAATGCAGGTAAACGCTATCTACATTGTCCTTACGGACAGGTAATAATGTGCTGGTCGTAATTTATTTATAAATTCATCTACAATGAAACCTAACATTATAATCATATATGTGTCAGGATAATGCAAAGAGATGTGGTTTTTTTGAATGGGAAGAAGAAGCCGTGTCTAAGCGTAACAGTGGGAATGGTGAATTAGTTGATAAGATTGAGTCCCTCGTGAATGAAGTGGATGAACTGAAGGCTGAATTAATCAACACCATATCATTGGTGGTGAAGTTATGCAACGAAAACCTTGGACTTACTAGGCAAAAAAACTTACTTCTTGCTATACTTGTGCTATCTTGGGCTGTGATTGTTGTGAGTATGTATTTTAAATGGTGAGTAATTTATAAGAAGTTGAGTTTGCAATATTGATATTGTGTGTTGTCATTATGTACTTTGGGATAAATTTTATCTTCCTTCCAATTTAACATGGTTAGTTTGTAATAAATGAATATTGATCGAATGAACAAGTAATTCGTTTGAATTTACTCATTATGTACTAATACTTGGCTAATTGAGATGTCTTTCAATAGCCTTTGAAATATCCTTTAATATTTTTTAAATTGCTAAAAAATAAAAGTTCGAAAGAAAATTATAACATAAAACACAAATACATTCTTTAGACAGTTGCGAGCAATACATTACCAACTTAACACATAACGAAAACCATATCAAATAAAGTACAGCCACAAATTACAACAGACGGGGTAAAAAAGTCTTATAAATTACTACAAATGAGCCGGTGTTAAATATCTTTAATGGATGATGAAATCGAGCCGCCACAAATCAGAATAACACATGTCTTGAACTTGGATGACCCTGCAAAGTTTTGTTGCCATTAGATTAAGAGATGTTAAGTTAATTATTTGTAAAACTTTGAAAAACTTGAGATGTACTTAATATATTTTGCTAAAAATTACCTTAAAGTAGACATCTGCCCTCACAAAGTCTGTAAAAATTGGCTTTTGATCACCAGCAAGGACATCGTTTAGCCACATTACAACCACACCACCACATACATCGTCTACTGATGGGGAGTGGAAGTAATGATAATTACCAGGAAGTGCGTTGATAAGGGACTTTATGTTTTCAAGCCCTTGCCTTGTTTCTAACAAAACAACAACACCAGGCTTGTGCAGCTCATATAGTGTTTGAAAATGTTCAACAACAGATGGTCGTGCTAACCCTCTTACATTCCAGCACACAACTATAGTATCGGTTGGGATAACTACATTACTTCCACGTGCAAGATAGAGGGCCTTTTCACCTTCAAGTGTGGTTAAGTCAACCTTATAATATCCAGGAACAAACTGGGCATATTCATCGAACCCTACCCATAGGTGAAAAATGTGTGGAGATGGAGACAATTTAACTTCTTGAAAAGCATCTGTGTATGGGCCAATACACAAATGCACTGGCTCGTGACCTAGATCTAACACAGGTGCATCAAAATTTATAAAAGGCTTAGGATCAAGAAGGTGCAAAACAGGTCGGACAAGGTGAGGATTAAATAAGCCAGATGGCACGAATGTTAGACACCAATTGAGGAAAATGTGGAATTCACATCTAATAGGATAAGTATCAAAAAGGTTAGGAAGATGGGGGCAGGTTTAAGACTTGCATTAGTGCCTGACTCACGCATGTATAAGCCATTAAATTGAGTGTGGTTTCGGCAAGATGGATATAGTATTAGTGCCCCAATAGTCTCAGTAGATAAAATATGTAACTCACCCTTGTTATCTTTGAATAAAAATTCATAAGTAGTGAAATCCATTTCTGGAATCATTCCAGTAGGGGGAGTCAAATACAAGAGTGCTAGAGTACCACCAGGCATTCTTGCACGTCTCGCCTTTAGTTTTTTTCTTTTTAAGAATTTAGGATTAGTGGAAAGCTATACCAAGGCAATTATGGTGCTTAGTGTATAGAATAGGAGCACATATATAAACCATATTATCAACAAGATGCTTAGTAACCACATACACACAAAGTGGTGTACATTTGGCCAAATAATTCATCTCATATTCTAGGTCATTGTTTCAATTTGGAGTGGTGGCGTTACATTGGCCACATGTTTTTATTTCGTATGCAAGTGACTACCTAATCTGAAGCTTCCAAACATGTACTAAAATCCTAAGGTAAACCCTAAGACAAACCCTATAAATAATTGTTAGTGATACCGTACTCTAAACCCTTATGAATAACCCTTTCACTAAACCATACACCCAATTGATATTTTACCTAAATAGGCATATAGCTATGTGTTTGGTCAAACTAGTAATCCGAATATATAATTTCAAATTTTAATTCTAAACCTAAGTACAATGTTGATCTACATGGTATAATTTATTCATTCTATGTTATATGTACAATGGAGTATATTTTTTTTTATGTTATTCCTAAAAAAAAATTTGTTTCTCACTTTAAAGATATTAATTTTATAATATAATTGGCAATCCAACTATTTTATTTGCCTCTTTAGTTGTGTGTACATAATTCCTCTTTGATTTTTATGCAAATAAGGCTAAATAATGAAATTTATATTATAACTAACTGTGTATAATAGAGTTATAGTTAGAAAAGTACACAGCACCCAAATAACAAAAAAATAAAAGAAAAAAACTAAAAAAAATAGTTAGAGATCAGATGTACATATTTGACAGACCCTTACATACAAATGGAGTAAATGACGGGTTTCCAAGCAAGTTTTAATTTTTTTTTTTCTTTTTTATTTTTTAAACAAGGCAACACAGTAATTTGAATTCAGCTTATACAGGGCATGTTCATTAAAAAACGGCGAGGCATCAGGTATATGTTTGAATTTGGTGAGTTAAACCAAAAAAAAGAAAAAAAAAGGGAACAAAAATTACAAATAAGGTTACAATGGTTCCTAGTTTAAAATTTCATTTTTTTTAATAGAGTTTAAAATTTAATTAACCACATATGTTTCGACCACAAGTAACTCGATCTACACCCATTAATCCCCATAATATGTAACGGCCATTTTATTTAGCATGTATAATAATATTCCATGTATATAAGTGCACTTGAAGTCATATAAAGTCATTTTCAAGAAGCGTAAACTAATCAACATGAATCGGTTTCCATAAAAAATAAATTGAAAACTACTGTAATATTCAAATTAAAAAAGACAAACAAGTTTTAAATTGAATACATGATCTTAGTTATTTGAAATCCGTATATATTATTTGTGCGAATTATAAATTTATTTTACTCGATTTTATAGACCTATAACTTATCTAAACGTATATTAAAAGAAGATTTTTGGATTTAAAAATTTATATCTCACTTATCAAAAATTTAAAAATTTATAGGATATAACAGCTAATAAGTTTCAATAAGGTCTAGTCAGGTAATAACAAGGTGTATAAGATCTACTAGAGTTAATAAGTTAGGCGATGGCCACAAAGGTTACCATATGGCATGGCCAATAAGTTGAATTGATTCTACTAGTGCATTTATTTTCGTAATATCTAATTAAGTTAGAATAGGTTAACTCTATACGATCTAATACTATACAGTATAATAAGCTAAATCATGGCCATAAGTTATAACATCTTACCATTGAGTTGAATTGATTCGTATTTAAGTTTTAATTATTTCTAATTAAGTTGAATATGTAGTAAATTCTAATTAAGGTACAATAAGAAGTTCAATAAATAAGATGTATTAAGTGTTAGGATGTAATAGTAAAGTATAGTAACAAGGTGTATAAGATGTTATTTTTTATAAAAAGTTAAACTAGTTAATTTGTGTCTCTGGTGATGCTTTGGATTTTAGATTAATTCAAAATGAAAAAAGTACCTTAAGATTTTAAAACATTAATTTAAGTTAAATAATTAGATAAAAAACAGAAATATTTATAGGTATAGGTATAAAGATAGGTGTACTAGTATGTTTTACAATGAAATAACGTTAATTAAGTAATAAAATGACATTCATTGTGGAATAAAAACAACGAATGTATAGTAACAAGTTTTAGTTTTCGGTGAATCGATGTCTAATTAATAATTTTCTACTATAACAAGGTAATAAAAGTTGGAACTTCGAGCGGTGTAAGGGTTTAAATAAAGAATAAGTTTTAAAGGTTTTTATAATAAATTGACTGTCCCAAGGAGTGTGTTTTATATTTTAACAAATACTATTACGTATGTTCTCAATAATATTGGGTAACATATTATTTTAGTCGGATAATTTTTCGATTGAACCAAAAAGATGTCAACAAAATTATTTAGTAATATTATTTAAAGTCTAATTAATAAAAACGAATTCCATAATTTTTACCCAATGACGTCATGTTACTATGTCATACATCGCTAGTGTACAAAATAGATTGAGTGAATCTAGAAGGTTTTTAAAGTACTATACTAAAAATACCACTTCACAATGATACGGGTACATAAACAACTATCCTTTTCGACAAAATAAAAAATAAAAAAAAATAAAAAAAAGCAATTATCCTTGTCTCATTTATTGCCATGTAGTATCACCCAATTAAACCCTAACCGTGAATATCCTTTAATCTTCTTCTTCTCTATCCTCATTCACCCATATCTTCTTCCCCCACACAAAAGTCCTTCAATTCCTTTGTAACTTTATCCATTTTTCCCGGCGTCGAACAAACTACGGTTGGTTGACCTTCTATTGCGGCCTTCTCTTGTTCAACAGACATCTAAGTACGAAAATTCTCTTGTTCAGGTAAACCTCTACAACCTTAATACTAATCTAACTAGGTATTTGACGAAATTAGACGCAGATCATCTACATTATTGTGACTTGTTTTGTCCTAAAAACGTGATTTTTATGAAATAGTACTTTAATTAGTTACCCATCTGTTGCTGAATATGGTTTTTTAATCTTAATTTTGTCGCTTCAATTTATTGTTTATTAATTTAATTCTTGTGATGTAACTTTAACCTATTACTCTTAATTCGCTGATTTACGGTTTTTTTTTTAGTTGGTTTTTTTGCTTCGATTTAATTTAAATTATGTATGTTGTGGATGACAACCTAAAATTTAGGAAATTACATCTCGTGCAATTGTTGCATGTCATTTGCAATTTAATTATAACGTATACATATGCTTTGGTTAAAGTATACAATCCCCAGATCTATGAGTTTGATTGTTTCATTTGATTTAAAAGGAAATATTTAATATTTGTCTGGATTTATATGGTGTCTAAGCTAAGTTTGACAAATGTTTCTTTTTGGAGTGGTGAGTTTTGCTTGTGAAGTGAAAGATAAAAGACAATTGTTTAGATTATTAATATTTTTTTTGTGGAAAGTTTATATTATTATTATAATGTGTCTTAGAATTTTAGCTTTAACTTTTAGCCATTCCAAAAACTCTTGTCTAACTTGCTAATTTTAGTAAATAATATTTTTTTTTATCTACATCAACAAGAATATTTTTCACATGATGTGATTGAACATTACTAGGTCCTTTAGTTTAGAAGCATGTCTTTATCTTTAACATTACCCGGCTATGTATAGTGAAGTTGTGCATGACTACGATTTGGTTTACTTAATGGAGGCATTGACCAAGTTAGTGGTAATTTAGAGTGTACCATGTTTTAAGTTTTATGAAGTTAGTTGTACCTCTATGTGTATGTAGCTGTAACTAAATGAAAAGATTGTATACTGACTATTTTGGTATTGGTTTGCAATGGTAGTTATCTATAACTTGTGTGTTTGAGTTTATGTCGTATATTCAATACATAATGGATATTATTTTGTTTAGGTAATCATGGCGGCAAATAAAAAGCCAAGCTTTAATGTTGAGATTAACCATTCCATGTTACGCACCTTGGTGAGCCTCTTATTTATATATTCTTGCATGTCATGGAATTTCATGACATGCCTTGATTTTCTTATGGTATTATGCTAAATATTATGCATCTTTACAGCCAATCCCGAACAAGGTTAATAAGTTGGTTAGAGGTTTTCCCATTTTTAAAGTTCAACGAGGAGAGGATACTAAGGTGTACTCCATCTATTTGCTTTATATCTCGTATGGACATCGGGTGGAGACACACTTTGGCAAAGGATGGGAAAATTTCGTGGAGGAGAACGACATCCAGCTAGAAGACATGCTTGAAATAACGTGCGAGGGAAATAGATGCTTTCATGTGGCTGTTTTTAGGGGAGGAATAGAGATCCCCACAGCCGCCATTAACTCCAATATCATTGTTCTCTCTGATGGGAGTTCAAGTGATGGTGATGGCCCTGATGAGGTCGAGGGACAGCCTGAGTTCAGAGCGACTTTCACGCAACCCTACATTAATGTAGGTAGATTGGTAAGGGATTTATATAAAAATGCAATTTTTTCCGTTATTTGGATACCCACTTATTAGGCTTGTTTTGAAGATGCTATTCATTTATGAAATTTGGTATATAGACTATGACTTGGTTAAAAAAACAACCTAATACTTAATAAGAGGCTAAATCCCCCCTCCCCCCCGTAAATTTGAAAAATAACAATTATTAGCTTCATGATGAACCAAAAGTTCAATAATGCATGTGGTGTTTGATTAGACTTGTACTATGATAATGTTAACTTGATTACTCATGCGTACAACTAAATCAGATTATTGTACTATGTTAACGTTTTGCCTTGATTACTCATGCATACATCCAAATTAGATTCCTGTACTATGATTATGTTTTGCCTTGATTACTCATGCATATACCTAAATAGATTTCAGAATATATACTTATTGATGTGATTCATTATTACATTGTTAATTACAAATGTAAAAAGGAATCACATCAATAAGTATATTATGCATTGTTACTTATATAAACATTATTACTTACAATAGTATGTAGGTTAGTGATTATGCATTGTTACTTACAATAGTGGATCAGTGATTATGCAATGAAATGTAAAAATAGAAATGGATTTTATACAATTGAATTTTAATATATGAAATTAGCTTTGTTGTGATGTTGCCATGCCATCCCTATGTTGATAATCAATTTTGTAGAATGTGCCATTGGATTTTGCGAGATCCCATTTGGACTCCCTGGGGCCTGAAACGCCAGTTTTTGCTTGGATGAATAAAAAGTACCCGTCATGTCTCTATGTTAAAAGGAACTCACGTGACCAGATTAGGCTATGTAACATAAGGAATGGAATAACAGACATGATTCGGGGAAAGAAGATTAAAAAGGGGGATAAAGTGGTGGTGCAGATGATTTCCATATCCCCTCCGGCTTTCAAAGTGTCCTTTGCGTAAACTTATGATAGTGTTTTTTTGGTCTCGTTTGGGCATTGTATTACGGCTATTATGTCTTGCTACATTTAGACTTGTTCTTTTTCATTTGAACTCTACTATTCTAGTTGTATCTTTTGGACATGTTGTTATCTACTTTGTAATCCCAAACTGTGATTATACCGTTTTATCTTTGTACAAATTAAATATTAGTAATAGTTCGTTTAAACATACCTCTACTATCGACAAAACATGATATTCGCTGGACCGAAGTTGCTGTTTGAAAATCTATTAGATTTGATATTAGAAGTAATCATATATTGATTTGATATTAAAAGTGTTGACATTAATTATGAAAACCTATTGCTTCAAATCATAAATTTGATCATCATGTTCAATATTCATAATGAAGCTATTAAACTTTTAATATTCGAAAGCCCACTAATTGTTAATTTTTTGGTTATTAAAAAAAACTAGTATGTAGCTGATGGGCGTGCGAACGGTCGTACATTCCACACTCAATCAAACACATTTATTAACAAACACCTTACAAACCAAGCATAATGACAAGTAAGAGTTCGGTCCACAAGGAACAGGATATGATTGCCAAAGATCTTTACACTTAAGCTAGCTCGAAGTCAATTGGTGAATAGGGGTTCGTCAAGAAGACAAACAAACTATGGTGCTAAATCAATGAATTAAAGATACTAGGGAATGAGATCCGCTCAACCAAGGCAAATAGGCAAACGGGGAGTAAAATAGACAAGATATAGCAAGGACTATATGTAAAATCAACCTCATGCAATTAGAAAACAACTCACACTACTAAACTTAGATTCCTCATTAGTTTAGCAATAGATGATACATAATCAAATTACAATAAGTAATGACGTACTCAATTTACACTTCCATGTCAAATTAGGCATATCATACTATCAAGCTCCTTAGTCAAGGGTAGCTAAACCTATCATGAGGAACTAACAAGCAATCTCATATAATCAATTTAATTGCAATACAAACATCAATGCTTCTCCCACATTTGCATAGTTAACCCAAAAAGGTCGAGTTTCACCCAACCCCTAGCAAGAAAACTACTCACAACTCATGTTTATCAACATGCAATCAAGAATTAGGGTTCTAAATACTTCAATAATTGGGGAAAAGTGGTTAACAATTGAAATAACTATCATCCAATAACAAATTACCAAGAACTAAGAAGATTTAAATAACATGCAAATACCAAATGAAATCTGAAATTAAAAGGAAGAAGGTTGGAGAAATTACTAATTGAAGCTTCAAATGTTGAATACAAATTGCCCAACTTTGAGAATAATTCTTGAATTTCACTAATACAATGATTTGATTTGATGAAAACTAAGCTAAATTAATCCTAAGGAATGTTTCAAACTAAGGGAGGTTTCTGAAAACTAGGCTACTGTCCTGCTTCTCCCGTCTTCTTTTAAACGACCTCAAAAGGACCTTAAATAGTCCGTACAAAATCGGCTGAGATCGGGAAAAGGTCCGACCGAACTATGGGTAAGTTCGGTCGGACTCAGGGTAGGTTCGGTCGAACCATGTGTAGGTTCGGTCGAACCTCCCTGATCCTTGTTTGGTCGAACTTTTGAGGTTCGACCTCTCCTGCAAAATTGCTGAAAACAGGTTTGACACTGCCTTCACTGCACCCTGGAGGTTCGGTCGAACTTTTGAAAAGTTTGACCACACCAAGGTTCGACCGGACCTTTCAGAGGTTCGGCCACACCTCCTCTTGCACTTCCTTTTCTTGCTTCCTCTCCTTCCCTTTTGCCCCTCTTTCCTTTGTCCATGGCTTCCATGCTTGGCCAAGGGGCCTCCCACCGTGCATAGGACTGTCACGGAACCTGCAGAAGATACCAAAGTTCACGAGAGCATGGGGATGATAAAATAATGCATAAAGATTATCAAAATAAGCATTACTTTTCATCAACACAAAAAGAAGCCATAAGAGGATAATGAGGTGGAAAAACCTAAGAAAAATAAGAGGAAAAAGACCTAAATACTACCCCTAAGAGTGACATAAATGTCACTCATCAGTAGCCTATGCGATGCATGGGTTAGTCCAGTTGGCTAAATATAAAGTATATGTATTTCAATAAAGAATTTTACCATTGTGTATTTAAGTTGCTCTTAGGTAGGTTTTTTTATTTTTTTATTTTTAATTTTTTATTTTTTCCCCCTTTTTTTACACGTTAGAGAGTCGGAATGGAAAAGTTCATCCAATATTGTTTTAAAATAATAGTATTAATTTTCACTAATTAATTGTGCCACTAATTAATTGTTACTTTTTTGGTTAAAAAAATAATGCCTTTAATTAATTGCAATTTTTTCAAAAATTGTACCAAAGTAATTCAATGATTATGTAGTACGCCAGAACACGAAGAGGCATGTAAACTGGAAAGAAATGAGACTTAATGAGACTTAAGTAATTACACTAAACAGATAATTGCATCGTTTAGCACAAAGTGCTGCTTCGTTTCAAGCACCACACCACCAAACGTTACACATCATATTTCAACTGACATCACCATTATATCAAAAACTCTCCCCTTTCAATCAATAAATTTCCCCAAAACCATAAGTTTTCTATAATTTAGAATCTTAAACTTTCCCAAAATTGGATAACAATGGAGCTTCAAGTTCGAGGTTTCAATCACATGAAGAGACTTTGCAACGGCGTTTGGATGAATTAGTGGCGGAATTGGCTGAGATGGACGCTCGTCGTGTATAAAAGGAGTTGGAAATTATGGAGATCCAATCTTAACTCATGGACATGAAACAAGGGAGGTAGACGGAGACGCTTAATCAGGATGCTTCAAATGAAGGCCCTAGTAAGAGGGGAAGAACGGAGGAAATCGAGAATGTCAAAGCAGCAAAAGAGGCTAGTTTTGAAGAAGGGGAGGAAGAGGAGGCTAGTTCTGAAGAAGGGGAGGAAGAGGACTCTGAAGATGACTCTGACAATGATGCTGGTGTTCAAGTCCCGCCACATGATTCTGACATCGAAGATGACCAGGAGCTAGATGATCACATTCTTCCCCTTTACTTGTCTGGTTCAGGTACTGATGATGATGACTCTAGTTCAAGTTCAAGTGATGATTCCGACGCTTATGGTCGCTCTCCCCACAACTACTACAACATGATATAGGCCTCCTTCTCTTGGCTCCGATGTTTTTAGTTTAATTAACACAATATTTTGTGTATTTGATGTGTTGTTTTTTAAATAACTCAGTTTGGTTTGTAATTAACAATATTTATGGTTTATAATTAACAATTTCTATAATTAACTCAGTTTGGTTTATAATTAACAATATTTATGGTTTATGGTATATTTTGTTATGAATGCTTGTTTTGTGGAATGGTTAATAATTAAAAATTTATATGCTGATGACTGATGATTGAACATGTATTTACTCCTTAATACATGTTTTGTACTTATTAATATTCGTAATAATTTGACTTGATGTACAAATGTATAATCTTGTCAACCTAGCATGATTGGTGAAAGTTACAAACGGAAAAGAAATTGTTTGATGACAAGGTTGAAATATTAGGGAGAAGCATAGTATGCATGAAATTATTGGGTCCATACCATATTTTGTTATGAATGCTTGTTTGTGGAATGGTTAATTAAAAATCTATATGCTGATGACTGATGATTGAACATGTATTTACTGATGAATAATGATTGAACATGTATTTACTGGATTAATTTCGTAATTTTCATTGTTATGATGCCGAGTTTGGGATTATTGTTAAGACGCGCTTAGTTACGACCCTGTTATCTCAAATTGCTCACTAGAGTAACACTACGAGAGTAGCTGGTGCAAAAGGATGTGACAAAACACATATTGAACACAATTCATACATTGAAAGTACATCATTATGATAGAGATATTTAACATTTTAGTTCTAGTTTTAAAATTATTTCAATTCACCTAATGGGCCTAAAAACTTGGTTATAGTTCTGCATAATAAACAATTACTAGTCTATTCTACTTTTCCTACATTTGCATCCAAGGTTGTTAGGATCGGGATCCTACCTTGGATCGATCGGGGGGGGGGGGGGGTTTGATGAGTGAAATTTATGTCACTCTTAGGGATAGTGTTTAGGTCTTTTTCCTTGTATTTTTCTTAGGTTTTTCTACCTCATTTCTCCTCTTATGGCTTCTTTATGTGTTGATGAAAAGTATGCTTATTTGCGCTTGTTTTGATAATCTTTATGCATTATTTTATCATCCCCATTCTCTCGTGATCTTTGTTATCTTTTCCAAATTCCATGGCGGTCCTAAGCACGGAGGGAGGCCCCTTGGCCAAGTATGGAGGCATGGACAAAGGCAAGAGGAGAAAAAGAGAAGGAGAGGAAGCAAGAAGAGGAAATGCAAGAGGAGGTGTGGCCGAACCTCTGAAAGGTTCGGTCGAACCAAGGTGTGGTCAAACTTTTGAAAAGTTTGACCGAACGTCCAAGGTACAAAGGAGGCATTTTCAAACCAGTTTTCAGCAATTTTGCAGGAGGGGTCGAACCTCAAAAGTTCGACCAAACAAGGATCAGGGAGGTTCGACCAAACCTACCCAGAGTTCGACCGAACCTACCCTGAGTCCGACCGAACCTACCCAGTGTTCGGTCGGACCTTTTCCCGATCTCAGCCGACTTTGTACGAACTATTTAAGTTCCTTTTTAGATCGTTTTTGGGGGAGTTTTAGAAAAACAGTAGAATAGTTTTCAGCAAAAAAACTTTCTTTTAGTTAGCACCTTAGTTCATTAAATTAGTTGATGATCTAGTTTGGAAACTCTCAAATCTAATCATTATAGAAGCAAACTTCAAGGTTCATTCTCATATTTTCAGCATTTATTCAACATTTGAAGCTTCAATAGTAACTTCTTTCACTTGTCTCTACTTATTTTCTGATTTTATTTTGTTATTGCAAGTCACTTGAATCTCTCTTAATCTTGATAAATTGTTGTTGTATGTTAGTTTTATCCATAATGAATCACTTTTCCCCAATTTTAGAATTACTTAGAATCCCAACTTGGAGCTTTGCATGTTACTCAAAATGAATTGTGAGTAGTCCTCTTGGCTAGGGGTTGGGTGAAACTCAACCTAATGGTTAATTAAGTAAACTTGGGAGAAGTATTGATGTTTGATTTGTGATTAAATTGAT